CTAATTGAAGACCTGTCCAGAAAGGACATATGCTTTAAACAACACTTGATGACATTTTTGTTGAAATTTTAGGTCAGATTCTGAAAAAGAATATGAAAAGCCTTGTAATGTTTTACATTTTTATCGTAATTGATAGAGTTTGATGTAACATGAACTTGTTACATAGATATGTGTCGTAACTAAATTTCAGCTTCCTACTTACTCTTATTTCAAACCCATAACATATATTGTTATGTGTTATGCACCCATTGTATATTACATATTACAAGTCATCTGGTCATTTGTTTTGTTTCCTGTACTAGTCATCGAAACGTCACATTTTGGTTGTGATACATGATTTTTCTTTCTCACAAAATAAAATAAAAAATATTTTTTTATTACATGAAACACTTTAATTTTTCTGTGTTTGCATATGTATTATATGACAAAACACAACTCGCTAATCTCGCAGGTATTTAAAAATAAACAGTTACAAACAACTTAAATTCATACCATCAATATATCAATAAATCACAAAACGTTTCTTTATCTATTCCTTGTCAATGTAACGTACACCGGATCAGATTAAATTGAGAAAAAAAAGTTTCGTTAAAACGGTTTAAATTGTGTACATATTTACGTTGCAAGTTGCATTTGGTAGTGTAATGTTATGAGAAAGGTCTTTGCTGACTCAACATTTCAATGACATAATACTTATCAGTTGATTGGCCGGCGCATGGCTAAGTAAATATGTATATATATAACCACCGCGTATAAAAACGCTCACCTTAACCAGGAAGACTTCCGTTACCTGTACACCGGAGCAGTTTGTAGTGGTCGTCAACAAAGGAATAATGATTAGATCATCGTACGCGATCATTAAAAGCCAGAATGTATTCTATGTTGTGTAAATGGACTTTCCAGTGACGTATTTAGCTGTGTACAGCCGATTGATAATACTACCTGCCGCCCAATCATACAAATGCTGTTGCATAATTTATCTATTTTTGACAGACTCCTTTGTCTGGCAAAAAACTCTTCGGAGGTTAACCAATAAGCTTTCGATATATAAATACGTAGAGTACCGTCATAATGTAATCCCTCAAAAAACCCACCAAGAGAAAGTAACGTGTAAAAAAACACAATTCGAAATCAGAATCGATGAAACTAAAGGAAGTGTATGAATTATGGGAAGATTTACACTACCATCTTCTTGTAAGTAAAATAAAATAAAACCGACCACGTATTTCGGGAGAATATGCGTCGTCTGCTTCTTCGACGGCACCCGCCAGATAAATCTTGATCAAATTCATGCAACAGTATGTCAACAAATTGAGGAGGAAATGACAACATATAAAGATGAGGAAATGATGCAAGTCAACAAAGATCGAAGAAGCGACGGCGGCAACAAGAAATCAGCAGGAGGAAGTGGACAATCCTTCCATATCATAATGCATATTGTATACAAAGTAATGTGTAATGGCTACCTGAGTGGAAAACAATAGATATGTGTGCATCAAAAGTGCAGCACTTCTTAACCAAAAGTGGATATATTAAAATCATGGACAAGTTTCGCTTATCACCACGTCACCGACTTAACGAAAAAAAATAGAAATACTTATAAACTAATGTATTATGTGACTATTTCCCCGGTCAGACGTATTACATTTCCATTTTTCTTTATTCCGGATTGCCTGAGTACGACTATTTTATACATGTTGGTCTGTTTTGTTTGTTTGGGTTTAACGGCCCATCGAGAGCTGTGGTCATTAAGGGCCATGGTGATTTATTTTATTTATTTTATTTTATTTTTTATACAAACATGTGAGTAGCGAAGATAAAATCAACAAAAAAGGTTCATTTTAAAAGCATTCGCATTGTATGTGTAGATAATTAAAATAAAAAATGGGGTTAAAATAATAAAAGAGATTACGAATAGATGTTATGGTCTATGTGATATATATATCATCAGTGAGGGCAAGGTGGGTAAAACAGAATAGAATAGAATAGACCGATGTCTTTCAAATAGTTAAATAATGCATTCGAGTCCACGGAACTGAAAAGAGTTTTCATATCCGGGATTCAAAAGTAGTTATCACGAATGTTTTTAAAATCGGAACATTCTATTAAAAATGTTCCACTGTAAATGGAGGGTCACATGTGTGGCATAAAGGTGGATCTTTTCGTTTTAAAAGATACGAATGAGTAGAATATGTGTGCCCAGTACGGAGCCGAGCGGGGAAACCTCCTCTCTACGATCTTTCCGACTTGGAATAAATGTTTTAAGTTTCGGTTGTACTTTAACAAGTTTGTTGCTGGTCTCGAGAGACCAGCGTTGCTGCCATTCATTTTGAATGACTGTACGAATAATAGGTTTAAAATCTGTAAATGGTAGTTTGATTTGTTTATTGGAGATTTAATGCATTTTTTTGCTTCCCTGTCAACAAATTCGTTGCCTTTAATTCCGACATGGCTCGGAGTCCATAGTAAAGTTATTTTTAGACTTTTTTAAGATACGAGATATTCGAAGAACAAGGTTTTGTACGAGTGTTTTTAGGATCTCGTAACTGAAAATTCTGAAGGACAGATAGAGAGTCAGAACAAATGATTGCCTTTTTAATGCGGTGTTCATCGATATGGTCGAGTGCCAAACCAATGGCGCATGCTTCGGCAGAAAAGATGGAGGCGCCGTCTGGAAGTCGAACTTAAGTGCAAGAATAGCAGTACAGCAGGCTTCTGCCACTTTCTCATCTTCTTTGGAACCATCGGTGTAAAGTATGTATGAGAAGGGTAATTCGAAATGCATTCCCGAACGGAGGATTTGTGTGCTTCGGGCATAACACTTGATTTCCCTCGTTCATGTGAATGGTCCACGGAGGAACACAGATATGCTGAATTCAGCTATGTCAGTCAACTTTATGTTGAGTTCTTGCACGAAATTTGAAATTAGGAAACCGAATGTTGGCAGAAGTTTTGAGTTTTGCGTAAATATGTTTTGGTATTTTGGGTTGAATACTTGGTCGAAAGCAGGATTGTTAGAGTTTGATTTTAGTTGAGCTGCAAACTGTAATGCAAGTTTTGTTTCCTTCTGTCATAATGGGATGGTTCATTTGCTTCCACGTACAGGCTTTTTATAGGTGTTGTTAGAAAAGCTCCAAGGGCTAAACGTCTTAGATCTGTAACAGATCAAAAAGTCATCCACAAATAACGACTCTTCTGTTGATTAACCAAGACATTTGACTATATCATTGGTTGTAAGACCAAACAGGGTTACAGATAGGATTCCATCTTGTGGGACTACCATTTCCTGTTTAGACGTTTCAGAAAAATGTGAACCAACACCGACTTTGAAGTATCTATCTGACAGGTAATTAGATATAAAATTGGGAGGTTTCCACGTACGCCAAGGTAGTGAAGATCTTTCATGATGCCATACTGCCATGTAGTATCATAGGCCTTCTCAAGACCAAAGAACACGGCACCACATGTTGGTGTAATGTATCACAAAGTGGGTTTACGGGCTAAGGTTCAGCATCTTTGTTTCAGTTAGAAAAGTATTTAAAAACAAATTGTCGCCACAACATGCATATTGATTGATTGATTGATTGATTGATAAACTAGCATGACCTGCGTTGTGTTAGGGATGCGAGGTGTGGGATTATATTCTGTGACGACGATTAAAAAATTCCTTCACTTTCTTTTATGATGAATTGATTTAGTTAAATGCACTTTGCTATGTGTTATGCACTAATGGTTTTGGCTACGTTTTGATTGAAAAGGAAGTTGGTGATATCAAATATTGTTGAACAAGAGTTAGATATATTTGTATACAAGATAAGCACAGTGCATTAGTTGAATATCTCAGAGCCAAATGATGTGTCGTTTTTGTCAAATGTTAACTTTCGTACGGGTACCATCACATAGACTTAATGCAAAAGCGGGAAGATTGCATAGATCTATTCCCATACTCCAGAAATGTGGTTCTGTATTACACGTGCTCAAAGTGAAGATGAATACAATTTTGGTATGGAATGACAGTTATAATTTGAAATTAGGTAATTTTTGTTACATGGGAAATACCATCGTCGGATACCCACGGTTGATTTCGCTTCGAAGCGACGATGTGGAAATACTTTATCCGACCAAATATGGACCAAAATGTAGAACTCGTTTTATCGATAACAAAACTATAATTTAAAATTTAGCCATGCAAATGCTGTATTATCAAATTGAAGTTATATTGATATGTATATGTGTTATTTTGCTTTGTTTACAATGATGCTATACCTCTTTAAATGCTGTTGTCACCCTGTGACAATACTATGTACAGATTGTATTAAGGTAGCCTGTTGTGACTTGTTATCAATCTTTATTGGACCACTTCAATGTCCCAAATATTGTAAATGTGTGGAACACAAAGACAATTATGTCTATTGCCATGGAAGATTATAGCCCGAGTCATAACCCATGATAATTATTTTTTTCTCGTCCGATCTGTCTTGCACCTTTACGTGACATTTCGCGGAATTGTTACAGTGCAAAGTATTCATCTGCGCGTTAACTGCTTTAAATTGACAATCTGCATAATAAACGTTATATGTATAGTTTTGAAGTTTAGATATCTGATGTTGTAGATAAAATATAATCTACACTGTGAAATACTTTGTCATCTATGTAAGAACGGACTACATTTTTACGCGGAAGCATTCAAATGTAGCTTAAGTAGTGAAGAGGTCATTATCATTTGAGGCCCAAAACGGAATACTGAAAGTTTTTAGCAAAATATTTTGTTTTTCGAACTTAAAGGTGCGAGAAAAAAATCAATTACCTGTAACTGAGCAAGATCTGGCTTTCGCCTCGGTTGGGATTTTGTTACAGAATCTTAACCCTCGACTGAGATAACCCGATCTAGCTCAGTTACAGGTAATAGATTTTATTAATCCTTTTTAAATAATCTGGTACTGAGTATCGAGGGCGCGACAATGAAATAATAAAAAAAAACTTTGACAATGTCGTGACGTATATAAAAGATTCATTTAAAGGTACAGATTCATACTAAATGTTAAACGCACAGCTTGATGCATTGTCTTCCAAAGGAAAGCATTACCATTTATATGATAAGCGAACGAAGGAAATATATCTTTTACGGTAATTGTTAAACAGCACAATAATAGTTCCTGTCTTTTTTCAATACTATAGGAAGTTCGTATTTTAGTTTATCCCAAAACAAGCGCTTTTCTGATTTCATTCCTCCTGGAGAAAACATCTTTCTGTTTTTAACTCTCGACCTCCATGGTTCTTCGTTAAGTAGTTCAGCGACGCTGTCGTGATATTTTATGTAAATGATTCTGCCCTCGTTAAAATCGAGTATTTCTGCTCTCTGACACTCAAACGCGCACCATTCGTGTTTGTCGTACCTGTCCGATAGAACGATGATTATCCTCTTACTCCGTTCCAAATGTGTTATCGTTTCCTCGGCCCTATCATTCCCGACAGGAAGATCGCGTATGGGAATGAACATCTTGTAAGTAGGCTCTAGTTTAGCAGCCAGCTTCATCAATACCCATTGTCTTATGTGGATATTTTCGTCGTCGAAGGACACGTAGATATCGCTTTCTGTTCCAACCTCTTTGTCAACAATGTATCTATCTCTGGGATGAAAACCAAAGAACCGATATAGCAGGACCTTTGTTTCGTACGGACATTGTTTAGCCCACACCACTATAACAACCACCACCACTAGTAGGACGCCGAAGCCTACCGCCAGTCCTATAACTAGATCGTACGAACAATCTAGGAGACTGTTGGTAACTTGCATGATAGCGAATTGTTCTTCTTCCTCGAAAGTGCATTTCATGTCACGTCCCCGTGTGTCAACTGGTGACCGCTTTATCCATTCCGCCATCCAGGTCATATCACAACTACAGACAAACGGGTTATTGCCCAAATCTGTCTTCTCGAAAACTATCTTCTGCATTGTGTTGGGTATCGATTTCAGATAATTGTTCTTTAAATCTATAAATTTTAAATTACGCGTTTCGCTGATTGCCAATAATTCTATCTCCTGTAGACTGTTCCCTTGCATGTCAAGAATCTGAATTGCATGCATATAACTCCTTTTTGTTACCTGTGCGATACTATTGTAACTGAAGTTCAATACGTATGTGTAGTTAGGTGACAGCGGGGGTAGTTGTAAGGGCAGTGACCTAAATCCTCTTCTGCTACAGTCGACAATTAAAATCTGATTTTCTGGCTGTTTTTGACAAAGACAGCTTTCGGGACAATCTGTTGTTATATTGCACACCAGTTCTTTCAGTCTCGGTATATACATCATGTCCTCGTTATAGAGTTGGTATGGTGTCTTACACTTCATCTGTAACAACTCACCCCTAACGTGCATATAAAACGAACTCTGGAACTTGCTCACGATGTTGTGCACGTGACAGTCACAATTCCATGGGTTGTTCCGGAAGTCGATTTTATACGATTGGATGTCGACGGCAACATCGCCGCTAGGGTGGTACTGAAGTAAGAAGTCATCCCGCCAGTCCGTCATTTTGTTGTCCCTCAGATTAACCATAGCGAGAGACGATTCTGTCAAGTCAAATTTCCATCCAATGGTATTACTGAAGTTCGAAATGCTATTGTTTTGAAGGTCAAATATTACGATTTTCTGTAACACGTAAGCCCATGGCTCGAATGTATGAAGTTTGTTGCTTTGCAAATAAACTTCGGTCAGGGAGATTAATTTGTTATGCCCAAAGACTGAACTGTCTATGTCCTGTATTGAGTTGTAAGAAAGGTCCAACACGTCAAGGTAATACAAATCATCGAATATACCGTGAGGAAGAGTCACCATATTGTTATAACTCAGATCCAGTGTTTTCAACCGTCGGAAACAAGAAAATGTCCCATCGTCAATACTGTCAATGTTATTGTTCGTCAAATAAAGTCCTTTCAGATTATAAAACACACATAGACCAGAATTCTTCTTGAAGGACATTTCTGTAAGTGAGCGGATGGTGTTGTCGGCTGCTGACAGATTATATGCACCAGGCCGGCAAATATCCAACAACGTCTCGTTTAGGAAGCTGAGTGTTTGGTTCAGGGTATGAGTCGGTTGGTCCTCGTTGTTACACTTCAGCCAGCAGAAGGACAAGTGAGTATAAGCCAGAAGTAACCACAGACAACGGTATACACTCCCACCAACGGGCATGATGATTTTCGAACACGTTTCTGTAGAAAACAAACAACAGATGGAATGTAAGTAATTACATTTTATGTAACATGTTGATTGTATTATATATATAAAAAAAAATCAGCACATTGTTACATTTATGCAATTTTAGGATTACAAAACTCTCATGATATTTTAATCGTTATCTAAATGTAACTAAAATCCTTTTGTTAAGGTTTAGATTTTTGTTTTTGTTTACAATTTTAAAACGATTATAGACATATTTTACACATGTCCTTTCATGTTTTCATTTAGATATTCAAATATTGTATTAAGGTTTCCATAATTTATCCGTTTATCTGAAAATAATAAATGTTTAAAATTAAAAAGTTTGGTCCACACCAAATTCCACTTACAAAGACATGATGAACCTCACCCCTACCGATGCAAACGTTTCACTAGGAAAACGTTATACATATGTTTCCTTTATATACATATCTATATAATATCAACTTCATTTGTTCAACACCAAAGGATTCAGTTTGTTTATAAAACAACATTCCTCGGAAAATGTTGTCATATGTAACCTGATTACCTTGTTTGTCTTAAATGATATCAGTCATTGATATTCAAGATCAATCCTTTACAAGAACTGCAATAGAAATATACGTTCGTTGTAGCTTCAAAAAAATCAAACTGTATGACCACCTCTGAACTGATATCATAAGGGTCATTAATTTAATTTAAGTACTTGATTACATCGCGCGTACCAAATAGAAAAAATACGTTGAGTATTAAAGCCAAAATTAGTTTAAACGCTATGGTAAGTTTCTGATAGAATATATACACATATGTTTAGGTACATGTAGGTTAACAGCAAACGATTAAATTTGCGTACCAAAGCAGCTCGTTAAAAGTGCTAAAAGTTCAAGATATAAAACACTTTTCTAATGAAGAAATCTTTGTATAAGCATACACGTACACGGATGTACTTACCACTGTGGCGATATTATCACATGGGATTGTTCGCCGCCGGTCAAAAGCGCGTGCCAAAGGTGTGCTTTATAAATACGTGTTACAATGGAACAGCGTTTATCACAGAGAGGATACCCCGATACCCCAGGGTACATACTAAAATGAGTAGTCGAAAACAAGTCCTTGTCATTTTACCTACTGGTTTGTCACAGTTGTTTGAATGGGTTTTAAATGGTTAATCAACATTGAACCAGGAAGTTACACGGAGAGGGAAATACCTGTTTGTCGGACTGCTGTTTATATCGAGTCGTGACAAACATATCTACAACAAGTATGTACGTCAGACTCAGCTATTTAAATATGTATAAGTATTAGACTCATTGCTCTATTGTTTGTTATTTACATAACCCTAACAATTTAATGTACCTGTATTGTCCTGTCGTGGCTGAAATGTGTATTATGTTAACGAAGAGCTGTGCAGATAACACAATAGGCTATCTGCACAATAGGCTTGTGTGTTCATTGTATCGCGACATATTACAACGAAGCGTGCGTGTCTGACACCGTATGCACGCTCACAGAATATTCTCTAAAATTCTACAAAAATACTGGATGAAGCTTATAGTCCCATATTCGGACAAAAATCCTGCAGTATAATGAATATATCTAATAACGTGTATCATAATGGGCCTAACAACAATAAGACTATTTCGCTTGTATCCCCGTACCAAGGTCATGGTCCTGTCAACCAACTGATTTGTCAGCTCCGGTACCCCATTGTACGCCCACCAGTCACCGCATGTGATTTATATACCCGTGTTATCTACTTACCGGTAAATGAAAGTCTAAACAAAAAAAGTTTAAACTGTCTAAACAACACAACCAATAAAAATGTCTATGAGACGTTTCGATGACTAGTACGATATGTACACTGTCACCTTCATCAGACAAATGACCAATGAAGCGTATGCACACAAAGGTGTAAAATGTGTACGAGTTGTCTATAAAATCGATGTCGATTTCGGCTACGTTGGAAACGTATGTACAATAGTTGTTATATATGTACCGAAACGACAACTGATGTCCGATGCTCACAATATACAGACTCATATGAGTTATATGTGTAGCTCCCTAAGACACGACCCATGAGATATGTTTTAAAAATTTAAATGGTCCCCGGGGCCTGTGCTATGAACTATTTAGTGCCGCCTACCGAAGGTGTCGACAGAGTTCACTTTTTTCCAAAATACTATCAACACATTGTTTTACGCTATCAAATAATAGTATATAGTTCAAAGTTGGATCTGCTGCAAATTATGAACGCAAATATGTAACAAAACATTGCATTATAAAAAAAGTTCTTCAATCTTATACTTTAAAATTGTTGGTATTTTCATACACGTTTTTGCTATATCAATTTTCTTCATTTTTTTTACGGAAATGTCACACCAATTTCCGGTTTTTGTACACCAAAATTCTTTTACTTTTATTTGGTGCATTATGTCGAGATACAACGGTAAAAAATTCTATTTCCAAATAAAATCCAATAATTGTATGACCTAGAGTCATGTGTGATCATTTAACAATACGTCGCACTAATTTATTATCATAACTGATAAAAGTGTCGTCAGTAAAGTCTGCTGCTCATGATGAGCTCAACTATAAAGCTAGATGTTGCAAAATAAAAAAAGTCATGCAGTCTCACACACATAAAAGTTTAGTATGTTATGTACATTTTTAGTTGTGTCGCATCTTTACGGAAGTGATAGACACATTTCCGGTGTTTGTACATCAACATACTTCGGATATTATTTGGCAAATTATGTTGACCGACGATAGTAGAAATTTCGAAAAATGGTAGAATTGCAGTTAGGACATGTACAATGGCCAAAATAAATAGGTTGTGGTAATTGACATCCTTGGATAAACCCCCCTATTATATCATATTGAATTTAGTAAAATCATCACTAACTATAGGTCAATGCAAGTATTTCATAATTAACCTTAAATCATTCCAATATAGTATCACTGTGGATGCTATGGTTAATAGTAGAGTATGAATAGGGCATACAGCAAAAGTTAGGCAATTTGTCAGAACATTTGGTTTACCAGTATAATATGTTGAAGCTTTGTTAACCCATAACATTGTTTCTTTTTAGGAGAATTATAGTTTCCAATTCATGGATAATTGTATTTACTGGTGTTTTTTTTTAATTTGACAACACATAGTCATTATTGGTTATTCAAAATATTTTTCTGAATTTCTTCATTCTCAGCTCAATCTTATATCATGTTTCTTTTTTGAATGTATTCACAATATGCAGTCTCTGATTCCGTAAAAATTTGATATAGCTAAAAAGTGTATAAAAATATCAACATTTTCAGAGTTTAAGATAGCACAACTTTTTTTATTATGCAATGTTTTGTTAAATGTTTGAGTTCATATTTTGCAGTAGATCCTACTTTAAACAATATGATATTATTTGAAAGCGTAAAACATTGTGTTGATAGTTTTTTTGACAAAAAAGTGAACCCTGTCGTACACCTATGGAAGGAGGCACAAAATAGTTCATAGCACACGCCCTGGGGACCTTTTTAATTTAAATACAAATATTTCTTGAGTCGTGTCTTAGTGAGCTACAAATATAACCCAGTTATGGTTAAATTACATAGTGGGCAAACTTCTTTTGTTCCTGTTACAGGTCCTTTACAAATATGGACTGCGTCCTAAAACTGTAACCGATAAAGTTACGCAATACATACTAATTGTCCATATCGCAGCTATATTTCCCTAAGATCAGGGATAAACACATGGATCGAAAAATCTATTCTTTATGCACAAGATGAACATAAATTACATGCCTCAAACAACCAATACAATCACTAAAAACATATTTTTATCGACGACAGACCGATATAAAAAGCCGATAAAACGTCAGAATAATTCAGACTAGGATAAACGCAGCTTGTTTTTTTTCTGAATATAGTTTCTAGATTATCTCTATTAAGCACGCGTTTTCAAACGAACCGTGTCTTTCTCGGTCTTCTTCATTCATTTCACGTCCAACAACAAGCACAGATATAACTGGGGAGTTGAATAGTTCTTTGTGGAGAAAATCGAACAATCAAAACTTCTTCAGCATTCGAGATTGTCTATAGGCCTTCTTTAATCTGTTTGCTACAAGCTTAAGTATCACACGTTTATACACCCATCTAACTTTCTTACTTTGTGCTTACTTTTATCAGGCTAATTCTTTGTTTTGCAAACCTATTTGCGTTGATGGTGACATAAGAACGAGTTCTTTTGCAAATTCAAAATGCCTTAGGCCTTTTATGTGAAATAACAAGGATTGATTTCAGTCGCTGTTTTTTTTTGTTTTTTTTTTTTTGCTTGTTCAATATATAAGTAGAAGAAACCTAAATGCAGGCATGGCGCAGCTCTGCTTCGCTCCCGTCCTGACCTCTAACCATTCCTATTCTTCATCATTACATAAACCAAGGAAACACATTCTCATTACCGAGTTTTTACCGTCCGTATGTTTTACTAGTATGTCGAACGTCACAAACTGTCTCTCTGCATAGTTAAAACTATAAGCATCCCAAATTATATGGTATATGGTGAGTTGGGTAGGTATCCCCTAGCAATTGAAATCAGTGTTAGAATGGTTATGTTCTGGCATAAGCTTAGAACGGGTGGATCGAAATTATCTAGTGTAATGTATAAGTTAATGTATAATATGCACCAGAATTCTATATTAAGTTTTAAATGGTTAACGTATATACAAGATATTTTAAACAATACTGGATTTAATCATTTATGGACTTACAAGTAATTATAATAGACAATGCTTGAAAACTAGCATGCTGTTGAAACCTCCTCACGAGGTTAAGTTTATTCAATTTTCAAATACCAGTTTAATATTGAACCATGTCTTTTAAAGCTTAATCGTAATGAACGAAAAGTAATATGTAAATTAAGAACATCAAATATAATATTTCCTATAGAAACAGGAAGATGGAATAGAGTCCCACACGAAGAAAGGTTATGTCCTCTATATGTAATAACTGTGTTTGGGACGAATAACACTATTTGTAGCTATTAGACAAATTTATATACCAAATTATTACTGTCAACCCAACTTATATCAAAATGAAAGAAATGTTCTCAATATGTAACACGGTACTTTTAACAAAAGTAAGTAGATTTATGCAAAGAGTAATGAAGCTACTTTACATCTAAAATAAGTTAGCTACAAGAATTATTGAAATGGGTTGTTATTGTATGAATTGTATTATGTGTCATATTATGTGTGTACTTTGTCCATCAATGTATACTATGTAGTATTTGACCTCTTGTTACGTACGTATACGTGTGGCGTTAGGGTAAAAAATAGAACTTGAACTTGAAAATTCCATTCTGCTGACCGTTCGACTCATGCCCCTAGCATTACATTTCTCTGTTTGTTTTCTATTCCATATACATTTCTTCGTTAACTGATTAAGGGTTTTATTTGGGTATTTATGAGTTATATGGACCAATTTATTACTTAAGAATGGCATTTCAGCTTGGGAGGATTCAATCTAACAAACAAGAGGGCCTGTATCACTCACCTGAATATGTTTAAAATAGTTGGTAGGAAGTAAAGATATAGCACTCCATGGTAAGTGCTGTAAGTACATATGAAATTTCAGAAAGATCCATCCAGTACTTGAGATATAGGGAGAACAAACTTCAAACAGAGCCCCACCCCTATGCCCCTAGCGGGGTCATACCCACCAATTATACAAGGACCCAAGGATGCTCCAGACTAAATAAGATAAAATCCCTTAATCCCAATGGTCGAAGAAGGATGCTAAAGGTTTAACCTCTATTTCTCCTATTGGGCCCTGCCCTTCTGCCCCCTGGGAGATCACACCAACTGCTTATACAAAATTGAGTCCCCTTGGCTCAAGGATGCTCCAGACTAAATTAGGATAATATCCCTTAACCCCTATGGTAGAAGAGGATTATAAAGGTTTTACCTCATTTCCCCTATTGGGCCCCACCCCTCAGGTCCCAGGGGGGCCACATCCACTGTTTATACAAAACTGGTTCCCCTTTACCCAAGGATGGTTTACACCAAATATGGACCAAATCCTTTCATTCCTACAGAAATAGAAGGATTTTAAAGGATAATTTGTTATGTTTCCGCTATTGGGCCCTGTCCTCAGGCCCCTGGGGGGCATGACCCACAGTATATACAACGTTTGTTCTCCTTCACCCAAGGATGCTTCAGACCAAATATGGAACAAATCCTTTCATTGCTACAGAAGAAGAATTTTAAAGAAATTGTTATATTTCCCCTATTGGGCCCCGCCCCTCAGCCTACAGGGGGGCCAGACCCACCATTTATACAAAATGTGTTCCCCTTTCCCCAAGGATGCTTCTGACGAAATATGGATCAAATCCTTTCTTTCCTACAGAAGAAGAAGGTTTTTAAAGAATATGCCATATTTCCCCTATTGGGCCCTGCCCCTCAGTCCCCAGGGGGACCAGACCCACTCTTTATACAAAATTGGTTCCCCTTCCCCCAAGGATACTTCTGACCAAATTTGGTCAAAATCTGCACAGTTTTTCATGACTAGTAGTGTTTCAAAGGAAAAGTTGACAGACGACTGACGCTTTGGTATGGCACAATGCAAGCTCACCATGGTCCTTCGGACACTATTCAGTCAATAATATGATATTTCTTTTCAACAGACTTCAGTGTCTACCGTTATATAGGTGATATACATACTTTTCTAGTTGAAAAGAAAACCTTATCCGTCTGGAACCTTATGAGGGTTTATGCTTTTTTCCCTTTTTTGTTGTCCTAGTTCTTTCTGTATCCTGAATTGCTGGTTTATTTTAGCTACAACTTTATCATAACCTCGCTTTTCCTGCGGCAATTGGAAACAATCTAATTATTAATAATGTCAGTAAGTGGAGAGACACAGCACTACTTCCATTATTCATATAAAACTGGTATTTCTGGGAACCCCAGATTTGATTCTGTGAAGTATCATCTGAACCAATGTCAAATTCACAAATAATTGGACTTGTGAATAAATTGAGAGATGATCATATGATGACATTGATGAAATCATGAACTCTGAACATGTGTAAATTGTACATTATCATGAAGCTACAATATATCCAGTGTATAGTACCCATTTCAGTTGGGACCTTTGATCATCAGTGTACCGTAAGTCATCTCTACATATAAACATGTGTTTCCCGGTCACGTATACATGAAAACAATCCACCTTTACTATAAAGATTTTCCCTTCATGGAAGAAGTTATTTCCCCTAAGCTAAACTTATCAAGGATCCCAGTACACCAACAGGTACTAGACTCGTCTGTCACTTCACTCACAATATGAATATATTATGGTTGTATTGACAGATGAGTCTGTTACCTGTGAACCAATTGAACTACTTAGCCAAGGGATCCTGGAAGTGCCCGTATCCCAGTGTGCTACTATTATTTCCAATTAGAAAGTAAGGAAAGGTTACTGTATTTAAGATAAAACCAAAGAGAAATTATTGGGTGATTTGCCTGCAGTGGACAGGGGTCCTTAACTTCTTACCAGGCTATCATGTATTTAAGATAAAATCACGACAAAATTCAACACTGAATATGATAATGAAGATAATAAGCTGCCATCCTTTATTACTTCCCTATGCAGAAGTCTCTAAATATCACATCTAAGATGTCCTCAGACGTTATTTTTCCTGTGATCTTGCCAATTTCCCTGGCAGCATTTTGCAGACTAAAGGCAGCAATGACTACATCCTCAGGTTGTTTCTGGTACTGGTGGAGGTGGCTCACACAAGCCTGGAGGTGCTGTCGATGGCGAGTCTGGGTCAGACTGGGGGAACCAGCTAGGGGATTGCCACATCTATAATGATTTAGATTAAGTGTGATAACAATTTATGAAACTTAATTTCATGTTCAGAGTTGACATGCATGAAATTCATAAAAATTGTCTCTGGTTGCAAGTTGTGTCTTATTACAGATTCAGTTAACATAGAAATAAATGTAATACAGTTGTTTTCAACACAGCTGGTCTCTGATCAGTAGAGGTGTTCATTCTTTTGAGGAGCTTTGACTGTAGATACATCTAATACATCAAGTTACAACAAATAGTAAGACAAATATGAGATGTATACAATATTTTGTATATGCTACATAACAGTACTAATATAACACTTACATTTTTGCCACTTTTTCCTTCAGTAGTGTCACAAAATCATCCAATCCCTCTCCACTCTCACAGGAAATTATACAGGAGGTTATATCACATAGGTCTGTTACTGTCTGCAGCTTGATGACTTCTTCTTTTGAAAGTTTATCCATTTTGTTGAATACCAAAACATAATTTTCAAATATATTTTTCAATTCTGTAGAATCATTTTCTTTTGTAGAACAATTTCCCGTTTGACCTTCAACATCAGATGTTAGTGCAATTCCAAGGTCAGTGATACGTTGGAGGATAAAAGAGGACAGTTCCTTTTTAGCATTTTGATTAAGATCACAATCCATCATTAACACTTTTATGTCAGCTTGTTGTGCCCTGAAAATTTCCCAAAAATAAGCACTGATTTCAGATCAACCATAATAATTATAACAATATACAGCATTCGATATAGCGCCCTATCTAGCTACCATAATGATAAAGAGGTAACCACTCAATTTTGTTCAATACTAAAGAATAGACAAGAACCAGTTTCTGACTGCTTTGGTTCATTAAATCAGTTAGTACAATGAATTATGTACTTGAAATAAAAGAAAACAAATACAAATATTTGATGATTTTGTTATTACAATTTATTTCTGAGTCTTGAAAAAGTATTAAGACTGAGATGACCAATCAGTTAAATTGAAAACACTGACCTGTGAAGGGCCCTCCTGACCCCTTCCTTCTCTATAGAGTCCTGGGTTTCCCTCAGACCTGCTGTGTCACTGAGAAGTACAGGATATCCCCCGATATTGACCCCAGTCTCCACCACATCTCGTGTGGTGCCTGCTAGAGGAGACACAATGGCAGCTGGTCGCTGGCCTATACAGAGGTAATAGTATCAGGAAATGAAGACGTACTGTATATAGGTGATAGGTTAGTATTTCACAAACAGTAGTATACATTCAAATACTTCATTTCCAAATTGACTGATACTGTTGTTCAGGTAGAGACAAGTGATGAACAGCACAATGGAAAAAATGTCAGCAATGACATAATTTGATGTCGACTCATTTACCTGCAGGTAACATACATGGAAGTTCTTCCATGATAAAATGACAACCCTATCTAAGTGGACAATAGACACAATAAGTTTGACACAATGTACAAATACAGGTACTTACAAACAGAGTTCAGAAGGCTACTCTTCCCCACATTAGGTTCACCCACTATGGCCACTTGCACTCCTGACCGTAAAATCTCGCCTTGACGGTTGTCTCTCAGGTGACTCTCTAATTCACTCAGAAGTTGTTCAATCCCAATATTTACTAGAAAAGAAAATAAGCAATCACATTAGATCTGATTATTTTACAGTCTATATGTACCTGGTTATCATTCAGATTGACTACTACCTCAACATAAATATCTTATTTCAGTTTAAGACTCCATTTCCTGAAATGCCAAATGTATTTATTTTTTATTTTTTATGAAGGATAAAAGATGCCATGACAGCGGCTATATTTGCTAAAAAAAACTAAAAAAAACACAAATATATATACATTTGCAGCACTTGCACTTTTGTGGGTATTCATGTCTTTCTATTGATTCTGCTCTCAGTATTTCACCAGTGGTTATAAAACTCAGTACAGATGATTCATCATGAAACACGCCTTTGTGTAAGTTTTAATACAGAAGCATTTCAACAGACTTCAAATGAAACATGATTTTGTCTATACAGATTGATCTCCCTTTCAAAATTATCACTGTTAAAACATACAGAATATAATTCTAATCTTTAAAGACTTCTGAGTAATGGCTATACTGTACAATGTAATGCTAAGCAGTAATAAGGAGCAGTAGCATACCTTGATTTAGGACATCGTCCTCTATGTTGTCTTCCTCAGCGAAGTCTATGTAGGCCTCTACACTGGCAGTGTACTGTTCAGTTAGTTAATTACAAATTATATATTATGTCGTAAATAAATATCATTGCAACATTTTGTTTTCAATATAATATCAAATCACAAAGTTATCAATGTTATAAAATCAAGAATCTAAAACTATACATTATTCAATATATGCCTTTTCAAACTTGTTTGGGTGTGTACTAATTGTACATTGTATTGTTTTTCCTGCATGTAAGATCCACCGACAAAAAATCTGTATTGCATCCCTGTATTGAAAACTTCAAGAGAATAACTATTAATTTTCTATTTTTATAAAAATAAGTATCATGCTTTATTATTATGACTTAAAAATAGCTAAAGAAAATATCAATAAAATAATCACACTATTTAGAAGCAATCTCATTGTGTTTTGATAAACTTAAAAACAATCCTATACATTGTAAGCTGCATCATGATCATGTAATTTCTATGAATAGATACATTACATGTCCACTAAAAAATCGTTACTCAGGGTTACACAATAAGGGTTGCCCAATAGTCTGAGACTCGGGAAATCTCCAACTGGACTAATAGTTCTACAAGACGTTAGCCGGATTGACTAGTCAAATTTTGAAATTGCTTATTTTGCTGAATCTTATTGGGTGCAATTTGCACAGGGATTAGTAATATTGAAAGCTACTACTCCAGCTGACTAGTGGTTTTGAACGTTAATTTCTAGTCCTTTTACCCAGAATTTAATTTATTTTAGAATCAGCAAATGCAATCAATACACATGTATGTAAAGTGATGCATTGTAACCACCTAAGCTCCTCAAGAACAAAAATTGCATGTAATGAACATTTTTCAAATAAAATGTAAGCCTTGTGGTGGCTTAAATAATGTCTAAGAAGAAATAATAAACACAGGGCTACCTAAATCATTTTTCGCACTAGAGTATATAGTATATATGTACATATTGTACATGATTATACATCATGATTAAGTTTTACAAATTTGGTTAAGAAAATAACAATGAAATGAAACAAACCAAAATGTATGAAAGTTCCATTATTTGCACATTGTAGCTACATCCATCAATAATGACTCCAAAAATAAGGAAAATAATTAAGGACAGTGCACAGTTATATAAATACAATAACTGGATACAATAAAAACAGCTACGGAATGTGATGTCATACAAGGTTGGATGTACTATGAATCTCTGAGTTCACTGATAGTATTCATTTACTAAATTTGTTGTGATAAACTCACACTAATAATTTGTTTTCTCCACGTTGTATACATCCTACTAAGCTCTCCATCCATTTGTCTGAGAGCTTGCTTTCTCTGTGCTTCTGTCTCAGCATGAATCAAATCTCCTAGCCCCTCCACTTCAGTAAGGTCCAACTTACCATTGGTGAAAGCTCTGTAAAGAAAGTGATAAAACATTGATAAATTTAGTCTATTGCAAATCACACAGTTGTCAAATTCTGTTATGATTTATCTGCGAGTTCCTTCAAAATTCATTGCATTTAGATTCCATTTGACCTGTTCTTATTTCCTTTTCTTTATGTACATATTGTAGCAAAATCTCATAATTTTCTCGAAAAATGGTATGAAAATTTATATGGAAAGGTATTTAGCATAATCCATATTGGTGAAAAAATACTAAAACCTGGATACATGTAGATTAATCCTCATTGCTGACAACTGATATGGCATGTATACTGAACCTTGAGGGAGCTAAAAAATCTGTAAAAGTTTTGTTATTTTAGACTCTCTAAATTTAAATTAGACTTATAATTCCACTCCTCTATGATGCTCTACGATACCGATATTGGAGCGTATTGTAGAGCATTGTAGAGGAGCATAACTACAAGTCTAATTTAAATTAGATTGGTTATTGTATATCTTTTCTAAGATTAACAAGACATACTTATTACATATAGTTAATTGGAGTGTCTACAAACCGTTTAGTGAATTCTCCAGCCTCTGCATGACGGAAACCATCCAAACCTCCAAGGACATTGGCCATCTCTGTGATAACAGCCTGACCTCCATGGACATGGTACTCTGTACAATCCTCACCAGTAAAACTATCTGGACCTGTTGTCACCAAGAATAACATAAAGGTATAAACGTTATTACTCCAGATTTTTTTTTAATGTACTCATACATGCCAGAATCCTTGGAGACCAATCTGTGAGTTTTACAATCATTTTAAGGGAATTGAGGTTAAAATAAGGGACGTTTTATTCAAGGCGTTTTTCACAGCAAAAAGTCTATCTTACTCATCTAAATTAATGAAATAAAGCACAAAATCTTTTAGTAAGGAACTGTTTTGACTTTGGCAGGTTATTTTACATATTGAATATGATTATTTATATTTAATAGCACAAAGTTTACAAAACAAAATATCACATAGTTGAGATATACTGAAAAAGTATAAAGTAAAGTACTGCTGAAAAATATCAATACAGGCTCGAATTTACCAATCCATATGGAGTGATCAATTTAACATTTGAAAATGATCTATAATATTTTACGAAAAATGTGAGATACTGATGGAATCTGAATGCCTATTTGTAAAATAAAGCACATCATTGGTTCCTGGTAGTTTTCAGCAAAAGGTTTACATTTGAATATATCATAAAACTATTTGAATTTACAGCTCTCATTACTCACAAGACAAGTTTAGTATTGCTTTCAAGATTATAGCAAGGAGACCCTTCCCAATGGAAATGCCTATGAATTTTCATGTAAAACAGTTTACTATAATAATCACTTTCCTAATTATAACACATAAAGCGCCTGAATTCTTACCTGGGAACCAAATCACAAGTCCTTTGTCAATTGGTTCAAGAGTAACTGGGTTGAAAAGTTTCCTTAAATGTGTAAATCTGGGTTTGGGTAGTTTTTCTGTCCTGCAAAGCGCTTTAAGAGAACTTTCAGATCTTGGTCCAGACACTCTGATGACTGCCACTCCACATTTTTCATGTCCAGACGAAAGTGCAAATATTGTATCCGAACATTGGGAGCAGAATATCCGATAACGGCAACAAGAAATTTTAGATCTTTTTAAAAGTAAAACATGTTGAGAGTTTGGAAAGGATTGTATAACCAACTTGTACAGACCGTGAAAACTAACTTTCATTGTGCTGGTTCAGGATATAACATTACAGGAAAACTTGAACTTTAAAGTTTTTTAGTAGGCCTGAAAAAAAATGTTAAAGTATGGCAAAACTGTGACACTCTCAATCTGATTAGTATAATCACTTTAAAAACACAAATTTGCACCAATATCCTCATTGATTGTCTAATGTTTCGAACGCCGCTTGTTTACAGTTGTTACCACGTGTGACTTTGCCCGAAAACGAAAGTAAAACCGGAAGTACATGTAGTGTTAATCCACTTTCGAAAAATAGCCTCTAATTTATTAATTTCGATATAGCATGATTCTAATTTAATGTCTTACACTTTGATTAAGTAACAACAATACTTTGGATAATATTTTTTCCGGATGCATTATGGCATCAAATAGAATAACTTTACAGAATTTACTTGGGTTTCGCAGCTAAATTACTTACCGGAAGTCAGAAGTTACAGAAGCAGACGAAACGATAGAAACGATGTCAGATGAAAAGGTAAAGTTTTCATATTCTTTGCAATGTTTTCGAATGACAAAGCTTGTTTTCAATCAGTTACCAAACATTGGCGATACATGTAGTCTGCATATCATTAAATACGATTCTATACATTAGCCATTCAGAAGATCATTGTCAACTTCGGCTAAATTGAACGTACCTGACAGCCTGCTATGTTGATTTTTAGCAGACTGTCAAGATTAATCGCACAGAGTCAAACGTTTAAAATAGGACAAAACAGTTGTGATCAATGTTTCATAATGGATTTCTTTCTATCTGGCGAAATGTGTAAGTCTTGTGTCAGGGCCCTAGAATGAGATACTCAGCCTTGTTGGTGTTACCATAGTCCGAAATATTCAGACGTTTTATCGACTTTTTTCATATCGGTCTGTCGTCGATTAACGTCAGAACTCCGGCCCTCTATAATATGCGGGAAATATGCGACCCGCGCCCGGAGCGCACTTCAAACTGATATTTTAGAAACAAATCGTCACTTTCACACACATGTCGCACATGGATCGAAAGATCTATTCTTTATGCACTAGGTGGTATCAATAACATGTTTCAAAGATCATTACGAAAAGTATTTTCCAACGTTTTCTATACCAACCCATGTTTTTAATGGAAATTAGGCCATGAGCAATGTCACATGACTTGACGAGATCTCGCGTTACCGAAGGTATTTTCCCAACGTTATGACGTAGGCCGGCGAGATTTTAGTCACGTGGCATTAGAAGGCGGGGCTATCAAAAACCTAGAGTAAAACAGAGTAAGTTTGAAAAAATATGTTTTTAGTGATTGTATTGGTTGTTTGAGGCATGTTATGTATGTTCATCTTGTGCATAAAGAATAGATCTTTCGATCCATGTGCGACATGTGTGTGAAAGTGACGATTTGTTTCTAAAATATCAGGTTGAAGTGCGCTCCGGGCGCGGGTCGCATATTTCCCGCATATTATAGAGGGCCGGAGTTCTGACGTTAATCGACGACAGACCGATATGAAAAAAGTTGATAAAACGTCAGAATAATTTGGACTAGTGTTACCACAGAATTAGATTAGAGGGATGCTATCTAAGTAGGTGGTGTTACCACCCCAACACCACTCACCCTTCTTTTTATTCTGGTCAAATACAAATCTTCTGATACCCTCACATATTTTTTTTTATTTATTTTTTTTGTGGTTGAATGCATGTACAGCTAATCAGTCAATATTTTACCCGTCTATCTATGCTCGGACTGAGGTGTACGTATGCTCGGACCGCCAGTCGTAGCATTTATGTAGTAGAATGAGGAAAAGTGATAAAGTGACGTCGCTGAGGCTCGAACCCGCGATCCTTGGCTATCCAGCCCGGTGCTCTACCGCTGAGCTAAAGGGAAATTCCCTACAGCTGATGCTTGTAAGGCAACCTAATCAATGCACATAATCGATCATCAGGACAACACTATATTATACAAACATTAAAACATTGTATTCTTTCTGATTTTATTTACAGCCAGAAGATTTGAAGGCAAAGGGGAATGAGTGTGTAAAGAACGGACATTTCTCTGAAGCACTTCTACACTACAGCCATGCTATCAAACAAGATACCAAAAACCATCTTCTTTATAGCAATAGGTCTCTGGCCTTCCTCAAGTTACAACAGTACTATTATGCGATGGAAGATGCCAAGGAATGTATTAAGTTAAAACCAACATGGCCAAAGGTGAACTTATTATTTTAAACAACTGTGAAATTGATGTGTATGCAATATAGTGCATACATTTACTAAGAAGTGTAGTATTTTAGGGGATTGTATTGGATTGATATGAATTGAAATAAAATAATGTTATTATGCAATGTCAATCTGTTTGGCAGACTGTTTCCTCTCCATAATATCAAGACTTGTATTCTCATCTTTACCAAGCTTTATGAGGCTTAAGCACTGGTGTACTTGTGAGGAGAGAGTGCATGAAATATACACATTGGTAACTTAATTTGTCAAAGATCAAGGTATTTAAAACTTAATTGGCTGTTAGCTCTTGCTCCACATCTGGACTATTTCTAATAATCTTAATTTTCAGCTCTGACACTAAAATTCATAATGTAGAACAGGGTCCTGGGATCCGATGTACAATTTAATTTTGAAAGTACAATTGCACTAGCCCAAGCAATTTTACTATTTACTGCAGACCAGTGGTCATGCAGATTTACTTTGGCTTTAACTAATTACATATAAAGTGCAAATTTTAATCGTAAAATAAACTTTGGATGGAGCTAATTATTAAAAGTTTATATTTATTGAATTTCAGGGATTTTACAGAAAAGGAGAGGTTGAATATAATGTTGGAAATTACACTCTTGCGCAAATGGCATACAAGGTGAATATGTGTTGGTAGTATATGAGTTTTAACATTATTTACTTGTTTTGTTCATGGAATGATGTCAGTATAACTGCATTTTTTTATGTAACATTTGTATTACCAAAAAAAAAGAGTAATATTTTACCATATTTTGTAATTTCTAATTAATCAACCAGATAAAACCTGTGTATTCTGATATCCTAGCTGTCTAATTTGAACAATATGTTGTCTCACAGGGTGTCAAATCACTCCGGTTACACTGTATCAAAAGTGTTTTTATAAATTAAAGCATGTATACAGTACATACTAACTTGTTTATTGTATTAAGTGGTTTTTTTTAGCAAGCCATGATGCTAGATCCAACCGATGAAGGAATAAAAGAAGCAATTTCAAGGACTACAAAAGAAGTTAACAGAGTCAGAAAGGGTACCAAACAATTCAATTGGATGTAAAAAATAACAAGAATTTCTCAAAAACATTGTAAACTCATGCGCCTTTTATCATTTCCACTTATTGTGTTGCAATTGCATTTTTGTCAGCTGTGTATTTCATTATGAATTTGTTGCCATAATATTTTTGACATCTATTTCTACGTAATAATTATTGAAATCGCTGGTGGATATTATATTATTAAGAACTTATCTTAAAACTCTGCGGTCAGATTCTAAATTTTGGAATTTTGAATACTAGCATATACTAACCTGGTAATTAAAAACCTTAAGTCTATTCTGAAAGCAAACTGTCATATACATGCATGGCAGTCATGTATAAAATGACACAAGGTAGTGTGAAGAAAACTGACTCTCAAAGAAGTATCTCTTAGGTGTTTCTACTAAATGATGCAAGTTTTATCTACCTGTTTCAGCTGAAAGACAGGAGCCTTGGAAATATGCTGCTGGAGGATTGGTGGTGGGCATCGCTGTCGTATTAGGGGACCAATTCATGACCGAGAAGCCAGCAATTCAAGTAAGGACAGCATATCCAGCAGCAACTTGTGTCATGTTGTAAAATAAATTCTACTATCAGAATAATTGATTTGTAATCTGATCCAGAACATTTTAAAATCAATCATAAGACAGTACATATGATATCTACACACTGAATTTCTAAGAAACAAGAGACCCAGAGGGCCTGTAAAGCTCACCTAGAAATGTTAGCAAAATTGAAGTTACAATAGCACGATGTCACTGTGTAAGTGTACATGTATTACATGGTAATTAGTGAGGGGTTATATTTATATGCAATTGGACAAAATCTTGTCATTCCTAAAATAAAAGGAGGATTTCAAAGAATTTGCTATGTTTACCCTATTGGACCCCACCCCTCTGTCCCCAGGGGAGTCCGACCCATTGTTAATACAAATAAGGTACCCCAGGGGTGCTTTAGACCATATATGGACGTAATCCTGTCATTCCTACAGAAGAAGAAGGATTTAAAAGCTATTTTTCCTCTTTGGCCCTGCCTCTCGAGATCTGCCAAAAGGTGGGTCAGACCCACCGTTAATACAAAATTGAGTCCCCTTCTACCAAGGGTGCTTCATCCCAAATTTAACAAAATCCTGTCATTCCTACAGAAGAAGAAGGATTTTGAAGAATTTGCTATGTTTCCCTTATTGGGCCCCACCGTTCAGGCCCCAGGGGGTCCAAACCCACCATTTATACAAAATTGATTTCCCTTTCAAATATGATGCTTCTGTTCAAAGGTGGGGTCAACATTTGGCTCCCTCTTTGATTTCTTTTATTCTTTTGCCGTATGAAGATATGTAAAAATGATCGATAACTGCCTATATGATTATTCATAGTTACAACTGATAACCGTAGTAGACCTCCTTGCATAACTCCAGGTTGATCGTGTGACGGGGGTATCCAAACAAAATGACAGATAAATGTCACAGGAGAATGCTATTTTGAAAGTGAATTATGTTAGTGTACAGTGCATTAAAAATTACTGTTATTTTGATACTAAATATGTCATATTGCATACATAAAGTAGGCGTAGTGATACTTTTAATTAGAAAAACATGCAAAATTTTCACATAATTCAAAATATAACCAACATTGTCAACTTGCCTATATATAGTTACAATGGTAGTCTATATTTTAAACTTCTTTAAAAACTTTCCATATATATATATATTCTGTCTACAGAATCATTTTTATGAAATATCAAAACCAGTAAAGTACTTTTTTGGCATGACAAACATAATCAAAGGGCAATTTCACATAATCAGGTTTTTTATGGTAAATACCGATACATTTTCTGTTTTTGTATTATACCAAAACACTTTATTATATAACGTTTTACCTCTACTTCCCCTATTCGGCCCACCCATCTGCCCCAAGGGGGTCCACACCCACCATGTATACAAAATTTAGTCCCCTTGGCCCAAGGAAGCTCCTGACTAAATTACGATAAAATCCTTTCATCGCTACGGTAGAAGAAGGGTTTTGAAGGTTTAACCTCAATTTCCCCAATTATTCCCGCCCCTCTGCCCCAAGGGGGGCTACACCCACCATTTATACAAAATTGGGTCCCCTTTGCCCAAGGATGCTCCAGAATAAATTTGGATGAAATCCCTTAATCCCTTTATGGTAGGAGAAGGATTTTGAAGGTTTTACCTCTATTTCCCCTATTTGGCCCCACCCCTCTGCCCTGAGGAGGGCCACATACACCCCACCATGTTAACAAAATTGAGTCCCCTTGGCCCAAAGATGTTCGCGACCAAATTGGGATAAAATCCCTTAATCCTTATGGTAACAGAAGGATTTTAAAGGTTTTACTTCTATTTCCCCTGTTGGGCCCCGTCCATCTGCCCTGAGGAGGGCCATGTACACCCATCATGTAATCAATATCTAGTCCCGTTGGCCCGAGGAAGCTCCTGGAAGCTCCTGGCTAAATAAGGATAAAATCATTTAATCCCTACAGTAGAAGAAGGATTTTAAAGGTTTAACCTCTATTTCCCCTATTGGGCCCGCCCCTCTGCCCTGAGGAGGGCCACGTACACCCCACCATGTTAACAAAACTGAGTCCCCTTGGCCCGAGGATGCTCGCCACCAAATTGGGATAAAATCCCTTAATCCCTATGGTAACAGAAGGATTTTAAAGGTTTTACTTCTATTTCCCCTGTTGGGCCCCGCCCCTCTGCCCTGAGGAGGGCCATGTACACCCATCATGTAATCAATATCTAGTCCCGTTGGCCCGAGGAAGCTCCTGGCTAAATTAGGATAAAATCCTTTAATCCCTACAGTAGAAGAAGGATTTTAAAGGTTTAACCTCTATTTCCCTTATTGGGCCCCGCCCCTCTGCCCTTAGGAGGGCCACACCCACCCTTTATACAAAATTGAGTCCCCTTAGCCCAAGGATCCTCCAGACTAAATAAGGATAAAATCCCTTAATCCCTATGGTAACAGAAGGATTTTAAAGGTTTTACTTCTATTTCCCCTGTTGGGCCCCGCCCCTCTGCCCTGAGGAGGGCCATGTACACCCATCATGTAATCAATATCTAGCCCCGTTGGCCCGAGGAAGCTCCTGGCTAAATTAGGATAAAATCCTTTAATCCCTACAGTAGAAGAAGGATTTTAAAGGTTTTACCTCTATTTTCCCTATTCATGCAGCCCACCCCTCTGTCCCCAGGGGGTCCACACCCACCCTTTATACAAAATTGAGTCCCCTTAGCCCAAGGATCCTCCAGACTAAATAAGGATAAAATCCCTTAATCCCTACAGATCAGAAAAAGAAGGATTTTGAAGAATTTGCTATTTGGCCCGCGCTCCTTAGCTCCCTGGGCGGCCACAATCACTGTTTATACATAATTGAGTTCCTTTTTTCAATTAAAGATGCTCCAGACTATATTAGAATAAAATCCCTTAATCCCTATGGTAGAAGAAGGATTTTAAAGGTTTTACCTCTATTTTCCCTATTCAAGCAGCCCACCCCTCTGTCCCCAGGGGGTCCACACCCACCCTTTATACAAAATTGAGTCCCCTTGGCCCAAGGATGCTCCAGACTAAATTAGGATAAAATTCTTTAATCCCTACGGTAGAAGGATTTTAAAGGTTTTACCTCGATTTTCCCTATTCCGCCCTGCTTCTCTGCCCAGAGGGGGGCCACACCCACCATTTATAAAAAAATGAGTCCCCTTGGCCCAGGGATGCTTCAAACTAAATGAGGATAAAATCCCCTTATCCCTACAGATCAGAAGAAGAAGGATTTTGAAGAATTTGCTGTTTCCCCTATTTGGCCCGCGCTCCTCAGCCCCCAGGGCGGCCACAATCACTGTTTATACATAATTGAGTTCCTGTTTCCTCTATTTTCCCTATTCATGCAGCCCGCCCCTCTGTCCTCAGGGGGTCCACACCCACCATTTATACAAAATTGAGTCCCCTTGGCCCAAAGATGCTCCAGACTAAATTAGGATAAAATATACTTGGCGTTCAGGACTAGTAGACGAACGGACGCTGCAGTATGGCATAAGCTTACCATGCATGGTCCTTTGGACCAGGTGAGCTAAAAAAAATGCTGCTCCTGAAAATTTATGTGAAAAAATAAATAAATTTCATCTGTGTTGGTATACAACTACTGTAACTACTGTAATTTTCTGAAGTTAATGATAATGGTGGTGTTGGTGTTTCTTACAGTCAGTACATAATTGTTCAGATAATGATTGTCTGGTATCTTTACAGCACATAGTTCTCCAGATAGTGATGGTGCTGGTGTTTTTGCTGCTGTCACTGCTTTTATGGAAAGGATTTAGGTAAATAGTTCAGTACTTTGTACATATACTAGGTACATAGTTCATTACCTAATTGTATCAAGTAAATAGTTCATTAACTTGTATTAACGGGTAGGTAAATAGTTCCTAGCTTGTATTAGGTATATATGTAGTCTATTGCATTTTCTTAGGTAAATAGTTCACCACATTGTATTTGGTAAATAGTTAAATACTCTGTATTAGGAAAATATATAGTCCACTGCATTTTATTAGGTAAATAGTTCACTACATTGTATTAGGTAAATAGTTCAATACTCTGTATTAGGAAACTAGTTCACTACATTGTATATTGTATTAGGTAAACAATTCACTATATTGTATTGGGTAAAAAGTTCACTGCATTGTATTACTAGGTAAATAGTTCACTGCATTGAATTACTAGGTAAAAAGTTCACTGCATTGTATTACTAGGTAAATAGTTCACTACATTGAATTACTAGGTAAATAGTTCACTGCATTGTATTAGGTGAAAAGTGTACCTTGTATTGAAGTTACATTGAATGAAAGTGAACAGTCTTGATGGTTCAATACGATAATGTACACCTAGTAATTATGCATTTATAAGCATTTTATCTATGATAAGCACACGCAGTGTGTGCCAAACTTTTGAAATTATTACAGGACATTCGGGTAGGTAAATAACATTTTAACCAGACCAAAATAATTACACAGATCCAAAAATATATATATAAAAAGAAAAAAGCTTATTTTGAAATAACCATTTTATTTAATTTGTTGTCATTAGGTAAATAATTCTTCCATCCAGTCTCTTGTAAACGAAAAACAGATTTATCCCAGCAGACTGTCTCAGACATTAATCCTTCCTTTTCAACAAATATTTTAAGTATTTTTTTCTCAGGACCTATAACACATGTCCTTGTATGACCATAGCTGTTAATAGGATGTAAACCACAAACAAACCAAAGTATAACTACTATATTAAAAGGGGGATTTATATTTAACCAGTCCATTGCAAATACACTTGACCGAGCTCTAAAATTTGTTGTCTTCGGCGTCGGGAATGTGTATTTTTTGGTATTTACATCCCTTGAACAACTAATTATTAATAACAGAACCAATATAAAGGACACTTTGTCAAATTCAGCCGTAAAGATTTACCAGACATACGGGCAGGTATCTGAACAATTTTACCGGTCCAAGATCATTTTATTTTGGACATGATCGACTGACCGATGGAGTTTGGCACACACTGGATATGCATTTTGTAGGGTTAGTAAAACGAAGGAATGATACCTGTAGAATGCTATTTGTGTTATCCTTTTTACTATAAAAAAATCAGCAATATTATAGATTTAAATAAAACATAGATTTGCCTTCAGTGGTGATGATTTTATGCGATGCTTTGGCAAAATTTGTTCAAAAAGTAGGAATTTATATATTTTTGCGACACTTTTGTTTTTCAGGTTGATGCGTGATTGGCAGAATGATAATTTGTTAGAACCACCTATTGATATCCTTAAAGGTTTGTTGTTTGTGTTTTGTTTGTATGCGACATACTGTGAATGGAGTGGTGTCATTCTTTTACTCTTTGCAATGCCTATTCTCTTAATAAACTGTTTAAAGGGGCTATTTAGTCAAACAACAATGGCAAGATCGATTATGTGATGAAAACCTGCCGAGCTAGTGGTTTTAATTGTAAACAACCGTGTTCCTTTGCTCTCTCCATTATTTTTACGCACTTGAGTAGAGCTGGCCTTGACCTAGCCCCGGTCAAAACACATAGTCGATGCAGACAATCTCCGGGTGATTGACAGGTAGTTCGGGGGCATTATAAGCAGATCAAAATGTGCATGCATGGCCGCTCGGCCATTCTGTGTTGGACGCTACACGAGTGCGGACCATTACTTGTTAGTTGTAAGTATACTAGAGAGCAAGCTTTCAATGATGGGGTATGTCTAAATAAGACTGTTACCCATTACTGTCGCTCAATGGAAAGTATCACACATATTACAAGGGCGAGCTATCCTGTTGCTTCCGGGCCTCTACAATCGATAGATCAAAGCGTCACGATAAGAGCTCATTAGATTGCTATAGGGAGTTATAGGCATACCTGAGTGGTCAGGATAACTCAAGGTTAGCAAGAGGAGTTCTACAGATTGTACAGTAACGGCGAGCTATCATTGTAGTGAGATATATCGGCAGCACTGGGCATAGTGTTACATCGGCCGTAACTGAGCAGTAGCCGGAGTACAGCTAGTGTGGTCGAGACCTGTGTGTGTTAACAGTTGCCGTGGCAGGGTAGTGAGACATCAGCGAGCGATCGTCTGCATGTGTATATATGCACATTCTGACGCGTTTAAGAGATGTTAAAATGTCTTGTGTTCTAATTACCAAATTTGGTCTGAAGTTACCTATATGTCAGTTTCATGTAACAAAAAAAACAGGTGAGCAATACAGGCCCGCTGGGCCTCTTGTTACTGATTTCAGACTAAATATTTGGCTGCTAAGTAGTATATGTATGTGTTAAATTGGAAGATGCATCAGAATATTTTGTTCCTGAGGGGAATTTGACTTTTTTCCATCCAAGAATATACAGGAAATGCTGAAATTTCAGAAAAAATTTTTTTTTCCCCAAAATCATTTTTTTCCCTCATTTTTTTCGCCCGTGCATCAAAAATTTCTTCAAACGACTTCTTCTTAATCACTGATTGGAATTTGATCCCCCAGTAGGCTGAGGGGTGGGGCCAAAAGGGTGAATTTGGCTATATTGGTTTAAGAAATTTCTTTTGTGGAACTAAGAGATGGATGTCAACCAAATTTGACTGTAAGCATTCCCTAGGTAGTGGGGATTCAAAATTGTGCAAATGGTGGGGCTGACCCCTCAGGGGGCTGAGGGGTGGGGCCAAAAGAGGGTTATTTGGCTATATTGCTTTAAGCAACTTTTGTGGAACTAAGAGATGGATATATAATAATAATAATATAATAATATACAACATTTATATAGCACCCTATATAATTTGTAAAATTACTCTAAGGCGCTTTACAACATATGGATAATAGTAATGGTTATAATTGTGAAAACAAACAACAAAGGCTTGCAATCACTTTCATACATTTAACAAGCAATGTGCACATAATTGAACAAATAAAAGGGTGGTATTTACATGACGTCTTTGCAAAGATTCTAAAATGCAGACGTGAAGAGGTGAGTTTTTATGTCCCTCTTGAACTTGGCCAGGGTATTTGACTTCCTAATAGCAGATGGTAAGCTATTCCACAACGTAGCCAAAAGATTCTGACTCTGACCGCAGTGATCTTGACGGCTGATACAGGGTAACAAGCTCCTGTAACCATATTTGACTGAAAGCATCCCTAGGTAGTGGGGATTTAAAGCAATTTGGCTTTATTGCAATAAACATCTTCTTCTGTAGAACTACATGTATGTACTACATATAAATCATATTTGTTCCGAAGCATTCATGGGAGGTGGTGATTCAAAATTGTACAAATATTGCTCAGATAACAAGATGAAAGATATATATGAATGTCCACCTCTTTTTTATAATAATGAAATGACACTGTAATTAAATATTATTCAACCATTACATTGAAATCAGAAGGATACAGTATTATAAATAGCAACAGTTATTGTACATTTATGTAGGGGTACGTCATGTTGGCTTTTTAGTTAACCTCTGGATAACTGTTCTAGTTGCTTTAAGATTTATGCATGTATAAGACATATCTAAGTCTCACTACTGGTTTAATACAACACTCAATTTTAGTGATTTTTAAAAGGCATTTAATAAAACGGTATTAAAATAATTTGTATCTTTGTTTTGTTTCAGAATTCACGGACACTGTAGATCCAAAACAGAATCCAGAAAAGTGTGGAGATGATCAAGCAGAGGAGGGAAGTACAGGCAGAAGAGGAGGAGCGCCTAAGAGGGCACAGGCAGGAAAGAGGAAATATAAGCTAGGCAAGTCCTCGTGATATTGGCTGCCTGGCAGTTTTACTCCAGTTGACTCAGTTTTGTAACTCCTTCTTATGGGACCACAAATTAAAGCCGTCCTCTAGTTGTTGGAGGCATTGCCTTCCTAGAAATGGTGTTGATGGCATACATGTACTTTTCATAAAGCATATTGTTGGCAGGTAGATAGACTTCTAGTCCATGTTATTAAATGTCAGACCTGAGAGCTGTGTGCAGGGTAAAGTCCATTTGTTACTGTCATAAACAAAAACAAACTGTTTTCACATCATCACTTAAAACGGCATTATAAATTCAGGAGGTTAATTTACATGTTATTGTTTATTAGTTCTATTTTATGAAATCCATTAATGGCATGTGTATTATGCATTATATAAATGAAAATTTTGCATACCAAAGCAATAATAGGACTGTGTTCAGGATTTAAATCCAGTACATTTAGCCACTTATGTTTGTTTAGTGTAAGAAGGTATGATGCATCATCAATCAGAAATATTGCATAATATAGTAAAGAGCTCCATTTAAATTCATAATGTTTTGTATCTTATAACGCTTAAAAGGAATGATAACCTTTCAAGGCGTGCATTCATTTTTCAGAAATGTTTTTTTATAGATCAAAATAAATCTTAAGTTACCTTTTTTATACACATTTTTATCTTTTGTATAAGCTTAAAAAGTGTACCGATTGATAAATAATACTGATACATATAAATCAATGGTAGAATGCAACTTGAGATTGGTTTGAGAACATGTAGTTTTATTATTTGTGTGGCAGACTATAGCATTGCATCTTGTCCATCATTCAGCCATCCCAAATGATGGTCTAGGCCAAAATGTTTGAGCAGCTGAAATTCATAAGATGTATCATATTGTGTTGTATACAGCTTTCACGTCAGAGTCCCTCAACATAAGGACATATCGTGTGTTCAAAGGTCATACATTTATATACAATTATATTTGAACTCCTCGTCTTGGCCATTTGGTTCAGTACATTAAATGTTTTTCTCAACAGATGCTAGATCAATAATAATGAAGTAGAAATCAAGAGGTTTTCTTGATCATGTTTTGTAAACAGTAATGCTTATTAAAGTTTGTAATAGAGCATTTTTTAAATAAAATTACAATAAAAACATTTTGCTGTTCACTGTCATTGTTCTGAGCAAGTGAAAATTAAGGGAGGTAATTTGAATGTCTACCATTGCCTGGATTTGTATACACACAGTAGTAAGTTATGCATGAATATATATTTTCCAATCTTCAGCGAGATCATGACGCCTAACATTACGAAATATTCATAAGTTCTATGTAAGATTGATCTTTTTTTATCCTACTTGTTGGATTCATTTTCTTGTAAACAATAAATGGATCTTGTGATAACTTTTGATTAAAATTTCATACAGATATAATTGGTTTGAGTGTCCTTTTGGAGTGAGGTAATTGTTTACTGATTCAATGATAAAATATGAACAGTCATAAAAGAGGACTTAAAGGCAGCCAACTTGCTTTTTTTCAATCAGTCTTTTAATGTAACGTGCACAAATATGCACCAAGGGGAACCTACCTATACAATTTGAGAAATTGCTCAAACAAATTTGAAATGCCAAAATCCATGGTGGCCATCTTGTTTTCCTGTCCAGTCCCAAAATGAAAGATGCACAACTAAAGACTAAAGGGAACTTACCTACGAAATCCGAGAAAGTTCTGTCAGGTACTATGTGAGAAATAGCAATAACAAACTTGAATCGTCAAAATCCAAGATTGCTGCTGTTTTAGACAACAAGGCAGAGTATTGCAAGGCAATCTATAGTCCACCACTAGTAATGACTTCTATATTTAACAAACAGTACACTTTAGTCAGGAAGCATAGGTCACAGTTAGGATATAGTGACCCAATTCTTGCATTCCGCCATCTGAAGATGTCCTTGTACACAAAATCTGGTTACCCCAGGTGAAATAGTGTAGAAGACATGCCCCATACAAACCTTTTCAAAACTAAAGGGAATCGTCAAGTCATACGTCGCAGTGGCCTAATTCTTGCACTCTGCTCTCCACCATCTGAAGATGTCCTTGTACACAAAATCTGGTTACTCAGGTGATAGTATAGAAGATATAACCCAGACAAACATTTTCAAAAGTAAAGTCATACATCACAGTGACCTAATTCTGCACTTCACCATCCCAAGATGTCCTTGTACACCAAATCTGGTCACTCCAGGTGAAATTGTAAAGATATGCCACGGACAAACTTCTTGGACGGCGGCGTGCAAACCTTTAGTCCACCCCACCCTCCTGGGGAACTGGTGAGGGGAGGGACTAACAAACAATTTTAATATTACACCGTCTGATGATGGTTGGCTAGAAATACAAAAACAATGAATACCCTAATTTATTCTTTATTGACCTCCAGGATTTCCATCATATAAACAATCAAAATCTTATATAATTAACTGATACAGTTTATAAATATCATTCTCGCTTCAAAATACCTAAAACAATTGAGGAACAATTACATATATGTTACGTTTGTCCAATAGAAATTGTGAATATTTAAATAAACTAAATATTAAGTGCCCATGTATAAACCTGTGCATTTTCATCAATTTATTATTTGGATTTTTTTTCAAATATTATTGTAAAAACAAGGCTCACTACATAATAAATATATCATTTGCAAAAATAAGAGCTCACCTTCTATAAAAACAAAACAAAATTATAGTTACTGACTTAGAGGACATTCTCTGACATTCAACTTTTTGTCAAATAAACAGGGAAAGTTATCTCAAAGTTAAGTCTTTGTGACAAGTTAGAATAATCTATCAAATAGTATTTTATTTTGTATCTCAAATCCAGTTATATTGTAACTGTGTTCTAAAAGTGATCCTTACTGATAAAATATTAACAGTTTGTACAAATTAAAAAAAATAATCCATGCAAAAAAAGCAAGAACGTGATGAAATATAAAAAAACAGATATTATTAAGATTAACCACAAAGATACACTCGGAAAAATGGTTATTATCATAACTTAAATTTAGGAGTTTTTTATAGACATGTTGTTGTATGTAATATAACTTCTCAACATAAGGAGGCATACAATTTAATCTGCCACCACAAGTGACAGGTGATTTGATGATGTTAACATATAAATACAAGAGATCCAAGAGGGATCTTGAGGCCCACCATTGTACCATCTTCATTAGTTCTTTATCTGTTCGATCTTTTCTCTTCTTTTCTCTGATCTGTTTGATCAGTTTGCCTGTCCGCCATCTTAATCAATCTTTTTATCAACCTCAAAAGTTAACATACATAACTCAGGGTTGTGTATGTTAACTTTTGAGGTTTTGAAATTTGAAATGCATAACTAGGAAGGAACCATTGGAAACCTTCATGTGCATTCAGAAAAATAATGATAACAAACTTTCATTTTCAAATTCAAGATGGCTATCTATTGGCCATCTTGGTTTTCCCTTCTGTCCAAAAATGTAATATGCGTAACTAAGGACCATGGGAAAATTTCATGAAAATTTTGAGAAAGACCCCTCCAGAACTTTCTGAAAAACAGTGCTAACAAACTGAACTCAAATTCAAGATGGCTGCTTGTCGGCCATCTTGGTTTTGTGATCAGTCCCAAAACCACGATTTGCATAATTAAGGATCATGGGGAATCTTCATGTGAAATTTGAGAAAGATTCTTGCAATAAGTTATGGGAAATAGCATTAACAAACTTCAACTCTCAAATTCAAGATGGCTGTGTCGGCCATCTTGGTTTTATGATCAGTCCCAAAAACTGATATGAATAACTTGGAATTATAAGTAACCTTCATGTAGGATTTGAGAAAGATCCCTCCAGTATTTTCTGAGAAGAATTGCTTAAGGACGGATGGAATGACGGACAGACAACGGGTGCAGGGCGATTTGAATAGCCCTCCATCTGATTATGGTGGGCTAAAAATATGATATCTATAATAATAAATGGAGCTAGATGGAATCTAGAGCAATAAATTCAGGGCTATTCCACTTCAAATTTCCAGTTCCCATAGAAAGAACCTAATTACTCTCGCAGTCTAAAGAGGAGTTTATTTCATTCTTATGCATACAGTGGCCTTTTTACCTTTAGACACTTATTAATTACCTTCCACATAATCATTTTTCCATCCATGGGTAGGGGATATTTTAAAACTGAAATAGCCCTTAGTCAATGAAGAGATCACAGCTTTTATATGAGCTGTCCTTGCCACTGTGTTGTCTAGTAAAAGCTTGTTTTCTCGGCTGTACAAAGTACTGAAAATCACAATATTTTTCGTCTGCCAAATCTTTGAGGACAATTTTTTTCGTTTTTCAGTAATACACACAACGACATGGAATTTCATTCATATTTTGTAATTTTTATATACACATAAACGATGGGATCACCTGAATAATGTAATTGTAGAGGAAATGGATTGCTTCCATGTTTTTAATACATGTATAAAACAATTTGTTCAACAGCAGATATATATATAGGCATACAATCTTAACTAGGTTGGATCTACATGTATTTTCTGTTGGATGTGCTACATATATAGCTACTCAGATCTTAACATCTGTATGGAAATACACAAAAGATCAATTGTTTGAAAAAGGTGTAATTTTCAACACACAAATTAGCTTGATTTACAGTATTGTATAACCCTAGACATAAAACGTTTAATTGCCATGGTCATCGAGACCAATTAAACGACTGTGTTACTTATTGTTACATAAACGTTCAACTTCCTTACTTTTCACCTAAAAGTCCAGAATATGATTTTTTCCAGATTTTGTGACCACATTATCATGGTTCAAGTAAACCATATTAAAACTGACACTTAAGGACAACACAGGAAATCTGAGATTTACAAAGGTATGGAATGTTGTTAAATCAATAATAGACTATATGAACTTGAAATGACACTCACATACATTTACTAGTTCCCAATCTTATGTACACACTTTATACTACCTTCCTCAGAACTGTCAATATCTGATAGCCACAGATATACTTATCTCTCGATACCAAAGTCGAGTAAACATCAAGATATCAAACGTAGCTCTCTGAAGGAGTAAAAGGTCTTGAACTATCACATCATCGTCAATATACACAACACATGAATCGGAAGCTATTTTGTTATATATTAAGGGGTTTTGCCTATATCTAGTACACAAGCCCTTCATAGCAGAATGTGACACACCCACAATATATCAAGGTGACTGACTTTAAGTTGGAGAGAGAAAAACATGTCACTGACGACTGAAGGATGCTGCATTACTTTTTGCACTGGGTTGTAAATGATTATCATTTGATTCCCAATGTTTCTTTTGTCGTCGTTTTTTACAAAATCTTAAATAGGAATCGCCTCCATTTGTTTATATTTCAAATCAAATGGTCAGGTTCTAATCTGCTTGAAGAATAAAAACTTGAGACAGAATGTACGGCAGTATTTCCCTTTTTTGCACTAAATCTCAAAAGACTGGTGAAAGCTGGGAACTCAGTTGCAATCAGCAGGTTCAAATATACTGTTAGATCAACAAAGGACCATAACCGTCGTAAAACTTAGAAAGCAACATCTCCATTTTATCATGTTTATGTTGATATGATTGCAATCACACATACCTTATTTAAAAAGATTCTGCTGAAAACTTTTGTACAAATTGCGCTTTACAGTTCTATAAGTGCTGTTTGACGAACAAGTTAAGGTTCATAACTCTTGTAAAAATCACTGCAGAATCCCCATTTTACAATATGTTGGAAGTTCCTGTGATTCTTATCACACACATGTAGACACACCCACCCACACACACCAAATTTCTGTGGGACAAGTTGCAATGACAAGGTTAGGTGAACACAATGATTAACATAATACGCTCCACTATTCACAGTATTCAGAGACATATAAAAGTGGATGCTATAGACTGTTACAGTAGAGAAACATTAGCTCGGAAAGTTACATTACTCTCTTTGATCAGTGCCATATCAACAATAAGGTGATCATCTCCTGAACATATTACTCATATGATATGCACATATATAACTAACAAACAATAACTCCTATCTGTTGATAATGGGATTGGTCTTCATATAAACATGTACAGACATTATTTTTTTAACCACCTATAGCACTGACAAAATGAAACTACGATCTATACCAATTAAACAACACTTCACGACCATCCTGTTACATCATCATACGATATAAGACTCATTGGATTAAGTAGCAGACTTGGATATAAAGTCTGTGTTGATGCCAGTGCTGTATGCCATATAGCTTAATTTAAATTTCTGTCGGTCACTGACTATTTTTTAAAAAAAAATTAATTGTACTGGACTGAACATTTTCAATTTACATGATTACAAATTGATAATTAGTATTGGACATGAAACTCTTCAATAATAATAGTGTAAAAACCAGGGTATTCACAACACGGTTTCAAAACAGTTAATCAAAAACACAAGTAAAAATGAATCAAAAGAAAACAAGAAAGCTACTAGCTGAAGGCTTATTCTCGTGCATAAATCTTTCAGTTAAGATTCAATATTAGATAGTAAATAGTACCACAAAAATATCCTACAAAAACCTTTTTAATAGGTACAGTACCCACAATATGAATAACATATACAGTGCTGAAAGAATGTACATACAATTGTAAGTCCAACTATATAAACCCTCAATGTAAATGTATACATATAGCACATCACTAGTGTGATCTCTGATCAGACACAATTCATTGCTTTGACATTTTTCATCCATAAAATTATCTTGGCCAGGTTACGATCACTTAACAATCTGTGGCCAGGTCACGATCACTTAACAATCTGATACCCCTACACACATATTGCTACTTTAAAACAAAGAACCAAAAAACAAGTACATGAACATGAGAAACAACAAACATATTGTAAAAAAAATTATGCTATATTATCAGATATTTATAGCTAGCATGAAAGTACTTTCCAAGCTTAAATACTGTAAGTCCGTAAAAAAAAGAGAAACAGAAATGAATTGTTAAGTTTCTTTTCCGCAGCCACAAGCATTAATTTATATCACAGCACTAAAACTAAAAGCAAGACCGAATATTGAGGGTAGTGAGAGATGAAATATATTTTAAGAACTTCACTCTCATTTAAAGTAGACATGTTTAATCCAAAAGATGGATTAATCGTTTGTAAATAATAGTAATATCACATACAATAATGCATACAGCACTATCACAAATATTACTATATCCAAACCAAGACCAACCTGCAATTATATTTTATTTGATATTAAATAACTATTACTTTGTTAGTTATATTCATATTTTGTGTCTAAAGAATACATTTAAGAGATTCTTTTTAAAATGCAAGATTTTAAGGGACTAACTTAAAATTGGACATTATTCTGCTAGAGCCAATGTAGCTAAACTATTGTAGAATATGACACACATGTTTTGTGACATTTACTCAATATCATCGAGATCTGTAATAGTTTTAAACACAAATTAACTGAAACTGATACATCATTGGATATTTTTGATTAATAAAGAAATATTTCTCTTTCACATGTTGAAATATCACAGGAATTGTATCTCAATCAGGATGTTGAACTTATTTGTTGTGTAGAACAGCAGGTTTACTTTTGCTGGTCCTGATTCTTCAACTTCTTTTCTAGGGTGTCTATACTATCATCTGCTGCCTTAACCTCCTTTTCATTTCCCTGAAATTTAAAACAAAAGGAGGAACTGAAATAACCATGGTATATTCATAACTTTATCAGATTTCTATTGTCATCTAAGTATGTATTGTGAAATATAAACTGAACGTAAGGGACTAGGAGTAAAACTTGCCTTTCTACAATATATCCATTGATACGAGTGTTGTATATACATACATGTGTAGAGAATTATATGACAAACACATACATGTATAGAGAATTATATGACAAATACATACATGTATAGAGAATTATATGACAAAGACATACATGTATAGAGAATTACATGACAAACACATACATGTGTAGAGAATTATATGACAAACACATACATGTATAGAGAATTACATGACAAACACATACATGTATAGAGAATTATATGACAAATACATACATGCATAGAGAATGATATGACAAATACATACATGTATAGAGAATTATATGACAAATACATACATGTGTAGAGAATTATATGACAAATACATACATGCATAGAGAATTATATGACAACCACATACATGTGTAGAGAATTATATGACAAATACAACACAATTATAGAATCTTAAAGTGATCTGGACGAAAACATTACTATTTATTTTATTTGAATTTAAGTATTTGATTTATGTCAGACAGATTTTCCCCACCATTTGACTGTAATTTTAAAGACTTCAGCTCTCTGGAATCTCAATGATATTGTAATTGATATCATGCGAATGTTACTTTCATTATGTCACAAATAAAAGAGATGGCAGTACTAGTCTTATCATTACCCCCCCC